ATAAAACTTTCTATATACTTCTTTTTTGTTTATTCTTCGTAGTTTTATTTTTTTTAAAAAGTACTTTAAACTGTATAGATAATGTAAAATTAAATTGATTTAAACTGCCAATCATACGAATGTCTTCCTATGGGAACGGCGACGTATCAGGTTCATCATAAAGTTAGTGCTGTAAATTATATTATTGTCTGCTACGCATTCAATAACTATATATTATTATCAAAATATTATCAAATTATATAAATAATAGAATGTGTTAAGTTACATCCCGTTACGTATAAGCTTAATTTAATATTTCATGCGTAGATTATGAGATCAGCAACTCTTAAGCTAATCTTTATTATCTGCATGAACTTTTTTTCGATTCTTGCATACGTATAAAGGCATTATACGTACGATTAAGGGTAGTGACAGATATACTGTATTACGTAATATCTGTCAATACTCTAAGTATAATTGATAATAATTTGTCTATAAACTCTTTTATGTTCTAACAGGAAAAAATCTTAATACAACCATCCTAATTCAGGCACTAAATCTGACCTAAAGAGCTGTTAGAATAATTATTATTTAACACTAACTATAAAGGGAATTATTTAATACGTACTATACATGGGTGTCTAAATTACCCATAATAAAAAGTAATTACGGCATTTAGGCAACCGAAATTAGTCTTGTCGTTGTACGTATAGTGCCGAAATTAATTTTCATATTTGCCGAAATTTTTTGAACTCTTTTCATCAAAATACATCCATCATATAATACAGTTATTTCGAAGGGTTTCATATAAAAAATTTAGCAATACCGAAATGTTTGCCGAAAATACGATTTTTCAAAAATAATTTAGACACCCATGTATAATACGTACCAACTGGTAATTTTAAACCGCATAAAAATCTTATCACATTTAGACCATTAAGACGAGTAATTACTGTATTAGGATATACCAGTCTGTCCTAGTCTCTAATTAAGGATCGGACCATTAATGCCAGCTGAATTAAACAATTAACTTAGTTAAACAATTAAGCGGTTCCAATCCCTATCTCTAATAAGACTGGCCTATTGATGTTTTTGATCTACCGTAAATATGTGTATCTTCCACCAATTTATAAAACCTTTAATAGCTAATACTTGCTGAGAGTTATTGTAAAAAAAAATATTTAAAATGCATACATAATTTGTACTTAGAGATTCCGTGGTTCGCAGCCGGTCTAATTCATGGTGGGTCTGGCTGGATGTCAGGTAGTAAATGTCACTACCCCCATTACACCAATTTACTTGATGAAATTGCCAAGACATTTGAATATTACTGGGTGTTCACATGTGCTACTTTAAATAAATTGAATTCTGGGCAAAGATTCGAAAAAGATAACAGGCTTTTATCAAGTGCCATTTAACTTTTGGCTGACTAAAATCAAATTAATTCACTGAATTCATGCATTACAGTCAGACCTCTTTATAATCACCTCCTATATAAGCACATTTTCTTTATAAGCATATTTTAAAAAACAAACTATATATATATTATTAAATATAATAAATTTGACCTATATAACTGTCACACTTCTCTACAATCACACATTTTTGTATCCCAAGTGTGTATATTATTGCTTCATTTATTAAATTAACGAGAAGATACATTGATCTATTTATTATCTCTATATTCACAAGTTTAAATTATGTTAATTATCATGCGGTAATTTTTTTCTAATTCTAGCTACAAAGAAACCTGAAGTGTTAGAATAAATCGGATCAAATCTAACAGCATTTGATATGTCAATATCAATGTATCTACTCTTTTTTAAAGGTGCTACCGTCATGTTATTTATATTTGGGATCGGTTCTAATTTGGAATTAGGTGGACTAAAAAATTATATTGGAGTTCATATAAGAACCGGTGAGAGAAGGATTGGAGATGAAATGTTTAG